GCACCAGTTTTGCTAGGGAAGTACCCACGATTATACATTTTTATCGAAAATTTGCAAATTGGCGTCAGTTTGAACTTTTTTTTTCATTTTTTCGCTAAAAATAGATTTTAAATTGTTAATAACAATTTTAATTATTTATCAATCTTAAAAAGCGTGGGTACTTCCCTAGCAAAACTGATGTAGATTAACGACAAATTTTTTTTTTTGCTCTAGGTGCTGTTCGGAGAATGTTATGATGTACGCAGATTCGCTCCTCGGAAAAAACACATGTTCCGTTTACCACTTGCCAAGACGCCATTTTGTATCAAAAGTTATAATAAAATTTTTTTTATACCTCAAAACATGTATAATAAAGCCTCAAATTTCATTTTCCATGATCCATTGAATAGTTTCCAAGAAAAAAATTCCCAAAAAAACGTTCATTTTTCAATGCGCCTGGGTAGTATAACCCCTTAAATATATACTTAAAATTAGCTCTTGTTGTATCTCGAATATGTGTAAAGAAAGACCATATGTACAGCCAAAAATATTAGGCACATATATTTTTTTCACTTATTTGAATTTCTTTTACTCTGCATTATTATCTCTTAATTACTGTCATTACAGGAATTTAAAAAAAAAAATTTACGATAGATTCCATAAATCGATTTTTTAGCCAAACCTATAAATACTGATTAATAAAATGTTTAATATTTTTGATTAAGGTTGTATATGGTCTGAGAATAAATCTCAAACCGCAGTAATAAAAAAGATATGTCAGAACACAAATTGTTATATTTTATCTTTCAAAGTAGTCCCTCATAACATCAATATAAATCTTTGATATAAAATTTTTTAAAGTCTGTATTTGGAATGCTATTCAAAACACTAATTCCTTTGAATGTTCTCATCATCTTGAAAATGTTTACTTTTTAACAGCATTAAATCCGAAAAAGATTTAATAATAAAATAAGTGAATTTAATCTTAACAATCCTTTTCTTGATGTGATTAACTAAAAACACTTATTTTAATCTCCAGAACTGACTTTTTCGGATTTTATGCTGTTTCCAACGCTTCAAATCATCATGAAAATTAAACATTTTCAAGAATATTCGGAGAACGTGACGAGTGATCTAAACACACATTTGAACTATGGAACTAAAAAAATGTTTGAACCCTTTATGTCAAAGATGTATGAAGTGTACTGATGTCATGGAAAATTACTTTGAAAGATAAAATATATAAACATAATATTTGGACAGATCTGCGTTTCTTTGTTGCCTTAATTAATCTGGGAACTTTATTTTCAAACCCTGAACCCACATCGATTTTAGTGTCAATCTTTTCAGAGTCACTGATACCATTCATTTGAGGAGTTATTACAACTTACATATATGTAACATGAAACAATTTCAAGTATTAGTAACGAAATATAATTTTATACAGAGAGTACTAATGTATTTTTATATAAAAAATTTAAAAAATTGAACTTACCCTACACAACACACTTTATCGAGTGTATATTCCAAATTGCCCAATATCGACAAAGTGATCCCATGGATGTCCCGTGGATCATACGTGGATTAATATCTATTAATATCTTAAGATATTCTATCATATTCAAATCCTTCCACCACACAACACAGTTCTTCAAGAAATGTCCTAAGGATGCCAGAGTACAGCAAAGATTTGCAGTTGGAGAGTGTCTGAACGAAAAGATTAGAAATAAAGAATGTCATATTTACTTTGGACACAATCGATACGACGTACGAGACAAAACGATACACAGAGGTACTCGTACAACTATAGGCAATTACATATGACAGATACAATATTTATATCTGACAATTAAGTACACGTAAACACATGTCAGAGGAATTCTTATTTCCTTGAATATTCCGATCGATTACATATTCAGTATGGAAGAAAGTTACCCTGTCCGTTGATAAGCTTCCTTTCACATTCACCTTTTGTTAGGGATGACATGCAAAACTTGTTGTTAAAGGTTATTACGTAGTATTTCTTTCTATTACATCTGCTGAAATATTAATTCGTTCTTCATAACGAAGACGAAACGAGAAGTTTAGTCGATTGCGTATTGCCAAAGGTAAAACGTTGCTTTGAAAATTATGGCATTCGTGTGGAATAATTACTACAGTATTACAAAAAGAATATTGTTACTCTCCGGCCAGTGGCCTTATCAAGAAAAACGAACGAAGCTTTTCCGAGTGAGCTCGGTGACTCTGATTATTGTTTCGCTGATTGTTCCACAGGTTTCGAAGAAGTTTATCATAAAAAATTTCTACTATATATATGAATATTCGCTATACTAGTTTTAAATCTGATTGATGAGACGGTCAATGCATAAAAAAATTAATTAAAATACGCAGTATCGCGCCATATAGATATACAGGGTGTCCGACGTAACTGTGATCACGATTTTTCCGACACTTCCGATCTGACAAAAATTATTTTGAATAAAAGTTAATTAGTTTTCAATCGGCTACAAATTGCAATATTAAAAATTTGAAAAATATTCTTATTTAGGAAAAAAGTCAAGGTCACCCTAATTTTTTTAAATGACACTACATATTTTTTACTTCATAATATTGTAACTGATGTCAAGACGAGTTCAATGACCTGCTATACTATGATCTTGAGATGACCGTACAGTCGTAGGATTAATGAACGGAAACGTTTCGGTGAAAAATTATTTTATTTGTATTAAATTTTTTATATGGGCTATTCTACAGTAGAAAAAAGATTTTTGTATCTGCTACTTGTTCACAGACATGGGTTCTTGTTTTTTTAAATGAAACTATATACAAGGCAACAAATTATAACCAAAAATAATAGCAAAAAATAATAAAATAGCAAATAATAACAAAAAAGTAGAACAAAAAATTATAACAAATTTAATGAAAGAAATTATGTAATTACAATAAGTGTTCGAATTGTAGTCCATCTTCTTGTAGGCATAATTCTGCTCTACGTAATAAATTTCCATTAGTTGCTTCTATAATGCTGTCACGGCGAATTTCTTCGTATGCTGTATGGATTCGCTGCTTTAAATGTTCCATATTTTGAATTAATACCGCGTAGACTATTGATTGCAAATGACCCCATAGAAAAAAATCTAGTGGTGAGTCACCTGTTGTGTTCTCGGAACCAATGGGGATTATCCTTCGATCAAAAGTGATGATTATGACGGTTAATTACACCATTATTTGAGAACTTACATTCATCTGTCCATAGAATATTCTGTAATATTTCAGAATTACTTTCATATGTAACAACTAGTCATGCTATACAATCTAGACGAAGTTGTGAATGAGTTATACGTAAACGTTGTACTTTAGTCATTTTGTAAGGATGATAACGATTTTGTTTTATCATCTCATGAACAGAACTCTTAGGTAAACCAGTTTCAGTAGCAACTGCACGAATGCGATTTGTGTTCCTTTTCTTCTTTTCAAATTTTCCATAATTTCTTAAATTCTTATCAATGTTATAAAACATTGTTGCACACGGATGATGTCTCTGGCTGCTTTGAGCATTCTTTGATTAGTCAATTCGTAAAATTCTTTATTTTGATTAGTCGCTCAAACGCTTCGAAGCGTTTATAGCGTCAAGTGGACCGCAGCCTCTGTTGGTAACTTGTAGCTAGAGATCCTCAAGTAAGAGATGCGCGAACTTCGAGCATTTGCAAGAACATGGCGACCTCCATTAGATGTCATGTGTGTGGAGTTCGCGCATCTCTTACTTGAGGATCTCTACTTGTGGCATACAGAATTGCAGCTTCACGTACATCCCTTTTACATTCACCGAATATTAGCAGCATATCAACTTTCTCATTATAGGAATACATTTTCGACAAACTGAGACTGACTATGATTTGCTCTAACGACAAACTAAGACTAAACACAAGAACTGTTGAAGCATTCGAGCTATACTACAAGCAGAGAGAAACCTGAAAGAGGACATGACGGCCCAAAACCTATAATCGCGAAATGCTGCCGCGCACTATTGCTCCCTGACAAAGTGGATAAACTACATACCAATATCCATTTTTCTGAGGGTACATATCCAGGGTGCGTTCCGAATTATGCATGAATCGCATGATGTATCGTTATATCCTTCTTTATTAACTGATAAACAACAAGGATAAATGATGCATCATGCGCTTCATGCGTAACTCGGAACGCACCCCCAGATAGCAAAGCGTGTCTCAGCAAAATGACACAAATCTGTGATTGCTTATGATATTGGCAACTTGCCATAGATTTGTCTTCAACGATTTCGAATATACCGACATTATAGCAACATGCAGGCAACAATGTGTATATGTATTGCCAGCAGTTTAACAGCAAGATAGCTGCGTCAATGTTATCTTGTGTTATTGGCAATATGAAAGCATTGCATGATGCTGTATATTATTATGGCAACATGATAGCAGTAATGCGAATTTTGATGATGACGATTTTAAAGTTGTCGGCAAACTGCTGGCAAGTTGCTACTCAAAGTTATCATATCATGAAGGCATCAAGTTGCCAACAAATGAGGACTCGGTTGCTGCAATTCTGGTAGCAACATATGCATTTAGCAATGCATACTTAGCAAGCAACATGCCAGCAACAAGATAGACACGTTGTTATCTGGGTACGTCCACTTTTCAAGACTGCAGATGATAAATCGATATTTGGTCGGTAAATCATGCTACATTCGCAAACTGTGGATCAGAAATATTCATCTCTGCAATCTTACATGTGCATGATGTTTATTTCACTTAAAAGTATTAATATAATAGATGTTCTTGTTTAACCTCTATAGGACATATATTATATAGGCCGTGGCCTAAATGCACGGTGTAAACGTAGCTATAATATAGCAGGTCAATTGAACTCGTAATGACAACAGTTACAATATTATGAAGTAAAAAATATGTAGTGCCGTTTAAAAAATTAGGGTAACCTTGACTTTTTTCCTAAAAAAGAATACTTTGCAAATTTTTAATATTGCAATTTGTAGTCGATTGAAAAGTTGAAAACTGACTAACTTTTATCCAAACTAATTTTTGTCAGATCATCAGAAGTGCCGGAAAAATCGTGATTACAGTTACGTCGGACACCCTGTATAATTCGACAAAATTCAGGATAAAATTCCTTCTCATGAATAATATATAAAAATGTATATTGAAATGCACGCGTATCAGAATATACGGCACGAAAAATTAAAAATAGAATTTTATCCTGCGAAATAACTGCATTATAAACCGTTTAAAGTGAGTTTTAACAAGTATATTTGTAGGTGGCCCAAATGTTTCAATGCAATGGAAACGCGAAATGTATTCAACTGGTCATACCGATATTTATGCTGATGGTTATATTTCTGATGAAACTATATACGTGCCAATTTAATAGTAGCAAAGTACGCCAATACCGAAATTTATACTACATACTTGATCGAAAGATAATTATTCAACTTTTTATTATCCTTTATGATCGCGATCTCCTACGATCGTCGGACTATCAGATAAGATTCATCAAGAGCATTTTTAGATCAAAAGTCTTACTGACCGTGTGTGTGACGATTGGGAGAAGTTGAATAGCGCGGAAGAATATGAAATTATGAAAAAGTATGCCACGAATGCAAAATTGATTACTTTGGCATATTTCTGTAAGGATAAATCGCTTTTTATCATTCTTATTTTAACAAATGACGGACGATTATTTTATTTTGTTGCAGTATATATTTTCTTGTGCTTCAGTATATGTATGTTAATTTCTTTTATGCCCACATTACTGAACATCGTATTACCCCTGAACGAATCCCGGCCCGCAAGTATGCCTTACGATGCCTATTATTTCGTGGACAAAGAAAAATATTATTTTTACATTATGTTTCATATTACTGTGAGCGGGATTATAGCTCTAATGGTCTCACTCGCCCACGATTGCACGCTTTTTATTTACATTGAGCATGTCTGCAGTCTTTTTGCTGTGGCTGGGTAAGAAAAACTAGTATTTTCTTTTTTTTCGTTGTTTCAATCATGACTGATCGGGTCAGCGGAATTGTCGCTTAAATGTTCACAGATTTCGTCTTGAGACTTTATCATGTAATAATCTTAACGATACGGTAAATAATCGTCCGAATGATCGGAAGATCAGAAAATCGCAATCTCCGTTCATGTACACTGGCGAGCTATACAGTAAGTGTACAATATTGTATTAGGTAGAATGTGTACTATGAATTTAAAGAAAAAAAAAGACATTATATCGATATAAGTACCACAAAATTTGTTTCCATTGGACAGGTTCGCGGCGATTCTTGAAGACCTCTTTTGCACTGCTTTCGCAATACATATGCTGATATATGTTGTAACATTGAGCATTTCTCTGCTACAGGTATGTGTCTGTTTATTATTGCAACTCAAATTGGTATTTGCATATTCCGTAAGATATTACTTGTCCTTTGCGTTAAATTGCATTACTCGCGATTATATAATTAACAGCACTAGCTGTGCAACATTTTTCATGTATCTTGACATGTGGTAAGTAATTCTGGCAGGTTTCTTCCCGTAGAGAGATTACGAATCTGTAATTAAAAATACTCCAGCACGTCAGGTTTTCGAGAAAAATCGAATTGAAGAATTAAAAAATTATTTTTTCTGCCCATTTTTGAAGTTTTTAAAGAAACGGAACGTCACAGAAATTCCAATTCCTATTGCCGGATGTCACCTGCCATATGCCATAAAACAAAATCCTTGTTGTACAGTGTGTGTATATTATATTAAAGCAAGAGATAAAAATATCGTACTTTTTGCGTTTAAGGTTGCGTTACAGTATGGCGATATTAATGAAACGTTGAAGTACCTGACATATATCTTCGGTCAAATATTACATACGTTCTGCTTCAGTCTGCAAGGTCAGAGACTGATCAATCACAGCATGCAATTGCACGACAAAATGTAAGATTTTAATCATTTAAATTTGGTGAAATTGAAAATTTGCTGATGACTGAGATACAAAGTTGTTCCAGATACAATTCCTTCTGGTATGAAATACCTGTGGAATCACAAAGGCTGCTTCTGCAAGTGATGCGAAGAAGCACGGAACCCTGTTTTTTGAGCGCCGGCAAAATTTATGTCTTCTCTTTAAAGAGCTTCACCACGGTAAAGATTATTTAGTTTACTGTTGTTTCTTGTTTCTTTGAAGTCTTTCTTAAAAATACCCGCTCTTATTTTCAAGGTTATGCAGTCTTCGATGTCGTATTTTACCGTACTTGCGTCTATGCAATGATCAATATTCAATACAATTTGGATAGTATCTATGCAATCACAATTATATTATAGTAATAGAGACTGTGTAGTGGAAATAATATTTACATGATACTTATTAATTATGAACGAGTTATCTACATTGTTAAAATAGCGTTGTTAAATATATTTTTAATTTCATTTTTACACGAAAGTTACAAATTATAAGAAGAAATAAGCAAAAATGGAGAATGGAGAAATGGGTATAAAGAAACGGTGGTATTTATTTGAAATGTTGAAATATATTCATTTTTCATTTGATTTTAAAGGAAAGATATTGTAGGTAGGGAATATTAGTAAAGTAATAGATTTTATTTAGTAATGGACTGGATTATATTTTCATCTTAAGTATAATGCATTATAATGTCGATAGCACGTGTTACAAGAATTACAAGTGAATCCTTAACTAATAAAATTGAATTTAATGTCAAACCAAAGTCACGCATTATTGTTACTGGCGCGGGCATGCCGTATGAGGTCACAGAAGCCAATCACGATGATGATGATGAAGAGTGTACAAGAGAAGAGTTTTTTAAGCGACGGCAAGATCTGTTTTCTGTCTGGTAAGCTTTACCGCGGTAATATGCGCAAAGTTATCAAGTGCTTGTCATATTGTTTTTTTAACGAAACATAATGCTCTTATTTTGAAGATTCAACAAACTTCGATGTCATACTTTACGGTGCTCCGTTTATTGGACGCAGTAGCGTCAAATAGCGAAGTAGCAACCAATCAACGAGGTGACATTTACAGTGGCGGAAAAAATATCGCCTTGCTGGTTGGTTGCTGCTCCGTTGCTTGACACTTGCTGCGTCCAGTCTGAATTAGGCATTAGTCAGTGATTGAATTAGGCATAAGTTCAAGCATCAAGCTGTGAAGCGGCCCGTTTCATATTTTGTACACTTGGCGTCGCGACGCTACCGCGTCCAGGGTTGGGTAGTACCCATCGACATATAGAATGGACTACTGATGGCGGGGGTAGGGGTAAAAACACGAGTAGAGTGAGAGGCAGATAAATGAATGAACGTTCTTTCTCTGTTTACTAAGCCTGATTGGTTGTTGTTGATCCAGCAGTCCTGCTCCAACCAATCAAGCTTACAAAACAGAGAAAGAATGTTCATCCATTTATCTACCTCTTACTCTACTCGTCTTTCTACCTCCACCACTGCTATCGGTAGTCCATTCTATATGTCGATGGTAGTGCCTAGTTAAAATGTTAAAAGTTAAAAAAAAGTTAAAATGTTAATAACATTTAGCTTAATTAATTTTAAATATATTAATTATTAACTTAATTTACTTTTAAAATTTAATTTATTAACTTTTTTAAATTAAATTTTTTTTATCTCTTTTAATGCTAATATTCTTTCTATAAAATCTTAAACATTAAAGAATTAATTTAGAAAAAGCTTAATGATTTTGTGTATAGAATCACGCCACATGGTAGTCAATTTTGATTGACTCGCTAGATTTTCTTAATTCCCGCTTATATTTGATTCACAGTAATTTTAGATGCTATAAATATCACATTTCTGCAGCATAAATATAAAATGAGTATCAGATGAAGAATTGTTGTGAAAATGTTGCATATCCATCCATTTTCTAAATTTTTACATATATTTTTTGTAATAAATATCTAGTCAATGTCGTAAATAATGTGAATATATTAGAAGAGGTTGAAGAAAGAGAGATAGTGCAAATACATCCCCTTCTCTCTCACAGACGACGCAGACAAAAACGTCTTATGCGTAACCCTTATTATAAATAACTTATATATAAATAAAAAAATTAAATTTATCTAATAACCTATATTGCAATTCTTATTTAAATTAATCTTATTTTAAGAAAAATGAGGACATACGGACATACTGATCTCAAATAATTTTTTCAAAATTAATTTTTTTTTTATACTCAAATTAATTCAATCTTAATTTAACTTTTACTAAGTTAATTTTTTGTTCCTTTAAGTCTTAACTTAATTTTATTAATTTTATAAGTCATCAACTTTAACTTAATTTAGTTTAAAAAAAACATTAACTTACCCAACCCTGACCGCGTCACTCGATATAGAAAAATTTAAAAAATAAAACTCACTTATCTCCGACGCTCATCTGGTAGTGATACTGAATATTAGATAACAACGTATAGACAACTACATATGTCAGATAATATAACATAAATACATCTTGTCAGAGAAATTCTTATTTCCTTGAACATTCCGATCGATTTGCTTTGCGCGGAAGAAAGTTGGCCTATCCGTTAAGTTACCTTTCACATTCACCTTTCAATAGGCATGACACGTAAAATTTGCTGTCAAGGGTTTCCATCGTACGTAGTATTTTTCTTTATTACACCTGCTAAAATATTAATTCGTTCCTCATAACGAAGACGGGACGAGAAGTTTAGTCAATTGCGTGTTGCCAAAGGTAAAACATTGCTTTGAAAATTATGGCATTCGTGTGGAAAGATTATTATAGTATTACAAAAAGATTGTTGTCATTCTCTGGCCAGTGGCCTTATCAAGAAAAACGAACGAGACTTTTCCGAGTGAGCACAGTGACTCTGGTTACTCTTTCGCAGATTGTTCCACAGGTTCCTCATAAAATTTTTACAATTTGCTACGCTAGATATAAATCTGATGATAAACAGGCGGCATAAAAAAATTAATTAAAGTACGCAGTCTATACGTAACGTATCTGTATCTGTTACGCTCGCGTTATAGGCGATATATAATTCGACAAAAAGATTAACGATAGATTCTTTTTATTACTCAATGAAACACATAAAAAATTTATATTAAAATGCACGCGTACCAAAATGCACTGCATATGAAATTAAAAATAGAATTTTATCCTGCGGAACTGCATCATAAATAGTCTAAAGTGAGTTTTAATAAGTATACTTCTAGGTAGCCCAAATTTTTTACTGTGATGGAAACGCGCAATGTATTCAATTAACAATACCAGGGCTTATATTGATGGTTATGTTTCTGGTGAAACTATATACGTGGCAGTTTAACAGTAGAAAAGTATGCCAGTACCAAAATTTATGTTTGATCAGAAGATAATTATTCCAATTTTCATTATCCTTTGCGATCTTCTATGATCGTCGGACTCTCCGATAAGATTCAATATTTATCAAGGATGTTTTTAGATCAAGAGTCTCACTGACCGTCTGTGTGACGATTGGGAGAAGCTGAATAGCACGCAGGAATATGAAATTATGAAAAAGTATGCCACGAACGCAAGATTGATTTCTTTCACATATTTCTGTAAGGATAAATCATTCTGTATTATTTTTATTTTAATGAATGACGGACGATTATTTTGTTTTATTGCAGTTTATGTTTTTTCATGCTTTTCTGGGTTCCTATTAAGTTCCTTTACGCCCAAATTACTGGATATCGTGTTACCCCTCAATGAATCCCGGTCTATAACTATGCCTTATGACGTCTATTATTTCGTAGACGAAGAAAAATATTTTTTCTACATTATGTTTCACATCTGTGTGTGCGGAACTATATCTGTTACGGCGGCAATCGCGCACGATTGTACGTTTTTTATTTATATTGAGCACGTCTGCAGCCTTTTCGCTGTGGCTGGGTAAGAAAAACAATTTTTTTTACATCGTTTCTCTTACGACTCGTAGGGAGATCGAAAGTGTTGCTTAAAGATTGCTTCACAGATTTCGTCTGGAGACTTTATTACGTAAGGATCGTAATAATGCAATTAATCTTTCGGATAATCGGAAAATCGTTGTCTCCATTCATGCACACTGGCGAGCTTTACGGTAAGTGCATAATATTGTATTATTAGGTAGAACGTGTACTATAGATTTAAAGAAAAAATGACAAAAAACTATACCAATATAAAGCACCATAAAATTTGTTTGGACAGATTTGCGGAGATTCTTGAAGACATCTTTTACACTGCTTTCGCAGTACAAATGCTGATAGTTGTTGCAATATTGAGCATTTCTCTGGCACAAGTACGCATCTATTTGTTTTTGCAATTCAATTTGATATCTGCATATTTCGTGCGATGTTACTTGTCGTTCGTATTATTCGTGGTTATACATATAATTAACAGCACTATGCAACGTTCATAAACGTTTTTCACTTTATTTAACATATAATTCTGATAGGCTTTTCTCATCGATTTCGAAACTGTATTTAAAAATACCCTAGTATGTCATGATGTCACAGGCTTTCGAACAAAACCGAGTGAAAAAAGTTTTTTTTTCTATTTTCAAAGTTGTTTAAAAAAACGAAACGTCATAGAAATTTGCTTATTATCAGAAATCACCTGCCATATACTGTAAAACAAAATCCTGGTTATACAGTGTGTATACTAAATCAAGAGATAAGAATATCATATTTGTCGTGTTCAAGGTTGCGATACAGTATGGCGATATTCGTGAAATGTTGAAGTACCTGACGTTTATCTGCGCTCAAGTATTACACACGTTCTGCTACAGCCTGCAAGGCCAGAGATTGATTGACCACAGCTTGCAATTAAGCGATAGAATGTAAGACTTTAATCACTTAAAATCATTTAAATTTAGTGAAATCGAAAATTTGTTGACGACTGAGATACAAAGTTGTTGTAGATACAATTCCTCCTGGTATGAAATACCTGCGAAATCACGAAAGCTGTTTATGTTCGTGATGCGAAGGAGCATGGAACCCTGTTTTTTGAGTGCCGGCAAGATTTTTGTCTTCTCTTTGAAGAACTTTACCACGGTAAAGATTATTTAAGAAACATATGTTGATCTTGTTTCTTTGAAGTCTCTCTTAAGAATACTTGCTCTTATTTTAAAGGTTATGCAGTCTTCAGTGTCGTATTTTACCGTACTTGCGTCCTTCCAATGATCAATAGTCAATATATAAATTGGGTAGTATCTGTGCAACCACAATTATCCCCGCTAACGCTAAATATTCACAGAAAGTTCGATTCGTATTACCAATGTACCGAATGTTCCGGAACAGTAAAAGGATCGTTACAGAATGTGCAAATATCGATGAAATATTCAGAATATTGTAGGAATACTCCTCGTATATCACGAAAATCGCTAGCCAGCGAGTAGTATACATCTCCGCCGACAGAGGGCCGCGGCGAAAAACGTTTACTCGTAAACAAAAATCATCTGGGAGAAAATATAAGGAGCGCAGCACTTCGTCTGTGAATTGAGCTCTAAAATAGGGCTCCAAGGTAAAAACACATTAAATGTGTTTTCCAAAATAAAATTTTGTTTAAAAACTTATTCACGGACGTCCTGAGCTGGAATTTTTGGAAAAATTAAAATTTTGCGGAATATGTAAGGAATATATATGGGACATTCTCGGAATATGTGACGATATACAATGAAATTTTTAACCGACATTTGAATGTTTCTTTTACATACCGTAAATATTTGAAATATTTTGGAATATCCTTGGAATATTTTTTGGGAATTTTAGGAACATTTTATGAATATTTCGAGAATATTTAGCGTTTGCTGGGATATTATTGTAATAAGTAGAAATAAAATTTACATTATACTTATTAATAATAAACAAATTACGTACATGTTAAAATATCGTTGTTGAATATATTTTTAACCTAGTTTTTTTATAGAATACACAAATTATAAGAAGAAATAAGCAAAAATGGAAAATAAAGAAATGGGTAAAAAACGGTAGTATGGTATTTAGGGCAAATACGCCGCACTGGGATTTATGCCGCAGAAGTCAGACAAAATAGAAGGAGTGGGGGTAATTTTCTCGTAACTACTCTGTTATATGCCTTTATGTTATATTAATAGTATTGAGTTATAATTTCAGCTTCTTACTGTTAATATTAATGAAATTATTGTGAGTTGAATCGATTTGTCACCGTAATAAGTAGCGCCATCATAAATTATAATCTACATAAAATGATTACTGTAGGACGTGTAAAAGACTTAGTGGTTATTTCATGATACATACGTGTAGAAGAATAGTAAAGCATGTTGTATAGCAAAATACAAGTGCTTTGCTTTCGTATTCTTTGTTTAGTTTGTTGTCTTGTGTATCCCACCTGTTTGGAATATACGGCATTTATAGCGGGCGGGATTTATGCCCAAAGCATACAAAGTGCGCAGATTAAATCAGTGCACTAAATGCAATAAACGCATGAAATATTACATGAAATATGTACCTCTTGTCATAATACTTCTAATATATATAGAAAGATTGTAATTATTATTTATTACTTCATATACATATTTATCATTTTTATTCCTTAATAAAATATAAAGGCATTTTGTAAGTTATTGTGTTATTTTATGTCCTATTTATATGCATTATTACCCTCCCTCCCCCTATGAGTAGTCATATATCCCACCCCTATAGGATATATGGCAAAAATGCAAAGGTTTCAAAAAGTTTATTTTTTAGTATGAAATATTAATATTTCGGATTCCAAATATTTTTTCCATTGTAGTAGAAAGTATGAAGTTTTTACTGATATACAATAGTTTATTTGCGTCAAACATGGTAAATAGTACTTGATAAATTAAATCTCCCTTAGATGCGGAATATATAATAATAATAATAATAACTTTATTGATATACCAGGTTTACTTTACGTTATGTGTTGAATTATGTTCATTTTTTGTTCGATTTTAAAAGAAAAATATTAGGTAGAAAGATATTGGGTAAGGTAACAGATTTTTATGTAGTAGATAATAAACTGGATTATATTTGCATTTAAAGTATATAATACATCTAAAGTATATAATACATAATGTTTTTAGCGCTAATTACAAAAACAAGTGAATTCAAATCCTCAACTGATGAAATTCGACCAGTGACATAACTACAGAGGGGCATGGGGGATGGTTGCTCCCTCCGCCCCACTCGCATACAAGACAGTTGTCCCCACGGCTGTACGAGTGCAAAACTTAGTATGCTTCATACTAATGATTCGTTATATTTTTATATGAGTGATTTTCAAAGAAAGTGCAAAATAAATTTAAAAAATCTCGTTACTTTCTTTATGATATATATTGTATATACCGCATTATTGTAGGTACCGTCAAGGTAGACATATGTTGCTGCAACTTTTGTGCAACTTTGTGCTATAATGGTGATGATGAAGAGCGTATAACCGAGTTTCTTAAGCACCGCCGAAATTTAAGTATTCAGCCCGGAAAGCTTTCCCGCGTTAATACACGCAGAATTATCGTGTGCTGTCATAGTGCTTCTTTAACGAAACTAATGTATCTTTATACAGAAAAATTTAAAAAGTAGAACTTACTTATCTTCGACACTCGTTTCGTAGCGATACTGAACATTGAACAGCGTATAAGCAATTACATGTGATAGACATAATATTAATATCTAAGTACACGTAAACACATCCAGTCAGAGAAACTTTTTATTTCTTTTACCATTTCGATCGATGCGTTCTGCGCGGAAGAAAGTTATCCCATACATTGATAAGTTACCTTTCACGTTCACCTATTATTAGGCGTGACACGCAAAATTGTTGTCAAGGGTTTCCATCGTACGTAGTATTTTTCTTTATTACACCTACTAAAATATTAATTCGTTCCTCATAACGAAGACGAGACGAGAAGTTTAGTCAATTGCGTGTTGCCAAAGGTAAAACATTGCTTTGAAAATTATGGCATTCGTGTGGAAAGATTACTATAGTATTACAAAAAGAATGTTGTTATTCTCCGGTCAGTGGCCTTATCAAGAAAAACGAACGAAGCTTTTCCGAGTGAGCTCGGTGACTCTGGTCATTCTTTCGCAGACTGCTCCACAGGTTCCTCATAAAATTTTTACAATTCGCTACGCTAGATATAAATCTGGTGATAAACATGTTGCATAAAAAAATTAATTAAAGTACGCAGTGTATACGTAACGTATTTGTATCTGTTACGCTCGCCTTATAGACGATATCTAATTCGACAAAAAAATTAATGATAGATTCTTTTTATTACTTAATGAAACGCGTATAAAAAATTTATATTAAAATGCACGGTATATAAATTAAAAATTTCGGGATTTTATCCGATTTTATCCGCGAAACTACACGATAAATTCTTTATATAGTTACTTATAATAAGAATACTTCCAGGTGGCCCAAATTTTTCATTGCGAGGGAAACGCGCGATGTATTCAACTGACTCTACCAATGCTTATGTTGATGGTTATGTTTCTGGCGAAACTGTACACATGCCAATTTAACAGTAGCAAAGTATACCCATACCGAAATTTAAATATTTGATCAAAAAATATTCAAATTTTTGTTATCCCTTGCGATCGCGATTGTCTGCGATCATCGAACTGTCCGATGATAATTCAACATTTATTGAGGACATTTTTAGATCAAAAGACTTACTGACCATCTATGTGACGATTGGAAGAAGTTGAATAGCGCAGAAGAATATGAAATTATGAAAAAGTATGCCACGAACGCAAGATTGATTTCTTTCGTATATTTCAGTAAGGATAAATTGTTCTGTATTCTTTTTACTTTAACGAACTTTGATGAACGATTATTTCGTTTTGTTGCAGTATATTCTTATGTATGCTCTAATGTGTTCATATTAGTTTCCCTCATTCCAAAATTATTGAACATCGTGTTACCCCTCAACGAATCCCGGCCTGTAAGTTTGCCTTACGAGGCTTATTACTTCGTGGACAACGATAAATATTATTTTTATATTATATTTCATATCTTTGTGAGCGCGTCTATAGCTGTTTCGGCGTTACTCGCGCACGATTGCACATTTTTTATTTACATTGAGCATATCTGCAGCCTCTTTGCTGTGGCTGGGTAAGAAAAACTATTATTTTTTTTACGTTGATTTCTATCACGACTGATCGGGAGAGCGGAACTGCTGCTTAAATGTTTACAGATTTCGTCTTGAGACTTTATCGCTTAATAAACGTAACGATGCAAATAATCGTCTTATAGAT